CTCGCGTTGACTTCACCAGGAGAAAGAATCTACTGTGATTATCCAGCCGCATTTTTCAACCCTGAGAACACGGACCAGTGAGAGTTAATTGTTCTCTCCTTCCCACTATCACAATACCTATATGTCTCTTTTGTAAGCGACAAGGTAGATGAAAATGCCAGGAAAACATTCATTCCGTTTGACTCAATAACTAAAGCTTGGCAGAGTAATTTACCATCCCTCGAACAATCCCTTTAACAAAGGGCATTGTCATAAATAGCTTGCGCTGGGAACAAGGAACATTGCTGCTGCTATTGTTTGGACCACTTAACAAAGAGGGGCTCAAGCCACAGGCTCTGGCTCCAAATCTTCTTTGCAGGTGTTCCAATCTGAAGGTTTGGTTTGACTCACAGCACAGATAGACTACCTCAAAATTGACAGAAGGTTTGGGTTTTAACTCTTAAAAAAGTGGAACATTCAGATCTTAATTCCGTGCTTATCTACAGTTCCAATGTTTTTTCAGGCAAATCCTATTATTTTCACTTGGTCAAAAATCTTATAAATAACAATGGAAATCTTTCTTGGATAAGAAATGAGTAAAGCTAGCAAGAACTGACTCTTTGTAAAACCTGAAATTGTAATACTTTATTCAAGTGTTCTGGTGCCAGACTTCTGCACATTGACCCATGTTCACTCAAGCAGTTCTTCAAATACATGACTTTTACTTCTCTTTCAAAAGTATGATTTGCACTTCCCAGTGTCATAAAACTGTTCTGCCCTTAGGATCTTCTTTTCTTATTATATGTAATAATATTTTCACTTGAGACATCAAAAAACAGGAGAAGCAAATCCTACTCTAATTTATACTGGAGAGAATCCTAAGGTAGAGTATCTCAAATGTACCCCAGGATCCAGAAGAAGTTTTCCTAAAGAGGTTTAATGAGACTGCGACACAAACTTTCTGAAATGAAAGCCACAATACTTTATTTAATAATAGGTGTTAAATGTCCACTGAGATTGTGAAAGGAACTTATGAGTAATAGAGGATGCGTATGTAATAAAAAAATACCCTAAGGACTTGTTAGGCTAACATTTCCTCTGCAGTACGATTCAAGGAAAGACCAAGAATGAACCTGTTTGTAACATGGTGAAAAGAACCTTTTTTTGTTTTAGGGGCTGCAGCCACAGAAGAGGTCACCTGCCCCTTAACATCCACAGACAAACGGATTTACTACTCCCCAAAGACTCATTCGTCTTTGTCACAAAATTCAGAGCTCCTGCCCAAAACCAGCAAGCTTTGCAAAGCAGTTTCCTGTAACATAATCTCAAGATCATTACAAGTGTGAGGAAGAGCTGTTCTGGGGACTACCGGTGCTGTCTGCAGACACAGTGTCACCACTGACTGATGCCAATATCAAGGCAGTGGGGGCTGTGCAGCTCAGACCTCACAGGATTTCTGCCCATCTGAAGGAAGGGACAGGAAACAAGCACAAAACATCACGCCTGGCTTTTTTTTCCTTCTTCTTCAATGGAAACGCACGTTTGCGCCTGGAGAAGTCAATGAAGTGCTCTGTATAGGTCAACTAAATGTCCTGGCTGCTCTCGGTAGGCTTTAAAGCTCAGTCACTGCCTTTCTTGGTACACTCCCTGCACTGGTACGCCAAGGCGTCTCCGTGCCCCCGCTATTCGCGTGCAGAGCTCCCATTGACATCACCGGGGACTTCCGCCATGGGCCGGAGGGCAATCGATGGCCCCAAGTGCTCCAAATGTCTTCCTGCTTTTGATTAAAAGAAATACGCATCATGTTTCCTAGCACAGTTTTGTTTTCATAATGAGTGTGGAGGTTTTTCCTGATTCCCTTTGATTTTATTTTTCTTCCGTCTCAATGGCCATAAGAGGATTCTCTTGGTGCCTCAAGACCAGCATCTGGTGAAAGCTCTACCAGCCTAGATCAGGCAAAGCCGAACCCACAGCAGCACCAGGGCAGGTTATGCCACGTTGGCAGGGTATGCCAACAACATGGAATCCTTTTGTCCTCCAAATAATAGCACTCTTTGCTTCTTTTTTCCTCTTTTCCTCCCATCATAGCCTTAGCTATTGCTGGTGGCTCCTACTACATTTCCTCCCGATTCCTTCCTGAGGAGAGGTAAATGCCATCCTTCCCTGAACAGCTGGCTGGCAGTGCATCTGGGATGACCTAACCTCCCACCAGAAGTCTTCTGGGCCAGGTTCACTGACTTTTGTGTTCAGAAAGCTCTAGACACAAAAGGAACGTCATGGATTGACCTATCTTGAAGACCACATCCAAGTTACACATTCAGCTCCATCAGGATTTGAAATGGAAGATCTAAGAGGGCTGACCTTGTTTTTTGAAGTTTTGTTTTGTTTTCTTCAGAGCTGCCTGCAAGGGTAGTAAAATGAAAGATGGCCAGAATATTTGCGTATGCTAAAGGTTACTTTAAAAGCCAGTTTAGGGTATTTTTAAATTGTGCCTGGAGTTAATGACCGTGTGGTGGTTTGACCGTGTTCCTTACAATAACTCCCCGTTACCATCAACATGAAACCACAAAAAGCATTCATGAAATCACAAAATCCTTGAAGGTCACTTGCTATATTGTTAAAGAACATAAATAGCAGTTTTTATTAGGCTGGTTGGCAGCCAGATGCAAACTTGATAAGAGACTTAACACAAGCAATATTATGTCTGGTATCAGTAACCTGTCTAGGCTATTTATGGGGTTTGCACAAACAACTAAATTAGCCAGCATTGAAATGCCAAATTCAGAAAAGATGGAGAGGTTCTTTATTTCCACAAGCTTCAGCTACTGTTCTTGGGTTTTTTTTTTTTGTTTTTTTTAATAATCTCAGCTATGTAAGCCAGAGTACTTACACATACATTTGCAAGAAGAAAAGCCTCTGCAGGAAAGTCTGAGCTTCCTGAAATCTCTGAAAGTTCATCCTCTGAAGTTCTTCCAAAATACCTCCTTACACTTGGCTCATCATTAAGATTTTTCAGGCTAAAAGAGCCAAAACAGTTTCCTCACATTCACACAACACCCTTTTCCCTCATGCATGTGAAGAGGACCAATGTCTTTACTGAAGAACAGATATGCAAACTTAAAGTTAATAGGCCAATTGTCAAATTCCCTTTTCCATTGCAGGCATTCATCTTGTAGTGAGGTGGATTGTGAACTGGCTGAAGGATAGAAGCCAGAGAGTAGTGGTCAATGGGACGGAGTCCAGTTGGAAGACTGTATCCAGCGGAGTCCCTTAAGGGTCGGTACTGGGACCTGTATTGTTTAACACATTCATCGATGACTTGGATGAGGGAATAGAGTGCATGGTCAGCAAGTTTGATGATGACACTAAACTGGGAGGAGTGTCTGACACACCAGAAGGCTGTGCTGCCATTCAGAGAGACCTGGACAGGCTGGAGAGTTGGGCGGGGAGAAATTTAGTGAAATACAACAAGGGCAAGTGTAGAGTCTGGGTAAGAGCAACGCCATGTACCAGTACAAGTTGGGGACTGAACTGTTGGGGAATAGCACAGGAGAAAGGGACCTGGGGGTCCTGGTGGACAGCAGGATGACCATTAGCCAGTAATGTGCCCTTGTGGCCAAGAAGGTCAATGGCATCCTGGGGTATATTAGAAGGGGTGTGGTTAGTAGGTCGAGAGAGATTCTCCTCCCACTCTACTCTGCCCTGGTGAGGCCGCATCTGGAATATTGTGTTCAGTTCTAGGCCCCTCAGTTCAAGAAGGACAAGGAACTGCTTGAGAGAGTCCAGCGCAGGGCCACAAAGATGATTAAGGGTGTGGAGCATCTCCCTTATGAGGAAAGGCTGAGGAAGCTGGGTCTCTTTAGCTTGGAGAAAAGGAGACTGAAGGGGGGACCTCATTAATGTTTATAAATATGTAAAGGGTGACTGTCATGAAGATGGAGCCAGGCTCTTCTCAGTGGCATCCAATGATAGGACAAGGGGAAATGGATATAAGCTGGAACATAGGAGGTTCCACTTAAACATGAGGAAGAACTTCTTTCCAGTAAGGGTGACAGAACACTGGAACAGGCTGCCCAGGGAGGTTGTGGAGTCTCCTTCTCTGGAGATGTTCAAAACCTGCCTGGACACGTTCTTGTGTGATCTGATCTAGGTGGTCTTGCTCTGGCAGAGGGATTGGACTAGATGATCCTTTGGGGTGCCTTCCAAACCCTAACATTCTGTGATTCTGTGATCTTAATTAACTTTATTTATTGCAGTTAAATTAGTAGGGCTGTTCAGAAGTAATTCTAGGAGAACCTTGCACACCAAGGAGTGGCTCTCATCTAAAATATAGACATTTCTCACTGAGTTGGGTGGCCAAACTGTTAGTGTTGTCGCCGTGGAGAAAGGGGGAATTCTGTCATGGAACTCATCTGACCTGTTTTAGACATCCGTGTAATGATGAGATGAATCATGCCCTAGAAAAGGCATCTATTCAACCTGCTCACATGTAGGTGTCTATGTTCCTTAAGAAAAAAAAAAATCCATTTTGTATGTCTGGAAGAACAACACATCTGCAAGAAGGGCTTTTCCACTCTCACCTCT